CAGCCCTTTCGACAGCGTCACGTTGACACTTCAATTACCTGATAACCGCGGCAATGTGTTTCTAGCCAGAGAAGAGTCAAGAAACAACCTCTTGCCACTGCCTTATTTCCTCAAAACTTCCACCTGCTTCTGTTCTGTCACGGCTCAATTTCCGTGGCCAGGTTGTGATCAGCGCAGGAAGGGAGTACCGAAGAAGGGTCCCGGACCTGGATTCAAATCCTGACTCTGCTGTTTACCGGCGGCGTGAACTTGGGCAAGTCGCCTAGATCCTATCAGCTTCGGTTGCCTTGCCTATAAAATAGCGGTTGCTATGGAAAATCAAATCAGGTGATACCTGTTTGGAAGGTGCTGCGATGGTTGTTGTAATGCCAACAGTAATAACTAAATAGGGATTCGGCTTACTCGAAAAACTAACGTGGAGGGGTGCCTGGGTGGCTCAGTCAGTTAAGCGTCCAACTCTTGGTTTCGGCTCAAGGTCACGGTCTCATTCAGGGTTTGTGAGTTCAAGCCCCCCGTTGGGCTCTGCGCTGACAGTGTGGAGCCCGCTTGGGATTCTCAGCCTCTCTCTCCCTCTCTCACTCATTCTCTTTCTCTCAAAACTAAATAAATAAACTTAAAAAAAAAAAAAGCTTGGGGCGCCTGGGTGGCGCAGTCGGTTAAGCGTCCGACTTCAGCCAGGTCACGATCTCGCGGTCCGTGAGTTCGAGCCCCGCGTCGGGCTCTGGGCTGATGGCTCAGAGCCTGGAGCCTGTTTCCGATTCTGTGTCTCCCTCTCTCTCTGCCCCTCCCCCATTCATGCTCTGTCTCTCTCTGTCCCAAAAATAAAAAAAAAAAATAAAAAAAAAACAAACAAACAAAAAAAAGCTAATGTGAAAAGTACACTTCTTCTCACGAAAATGCTCTTGAGCACCTCATGAGCAGGTGGTAAGTAGCCAATCTGTCTTCAGTTTCACGTAAGGATATTCCGCTCCAATTATACCGAAAGCTTCTCAAGAGAAAATTAGCGTTTGACCTGATAACATCATCCTCTGATATAAGAAAAAAAACACACACACAAATTTTGTGTATCTGGGTGATAATTCTGGGTGATTAATATGATGACAGTTTTTAGTTAATGATAAAGAAAAATATAATATAATATAATGATAAAGAAAAATATGCGACAGTCAACACCCCAAATTCACTTATAAAAGTTTTTTTTTGTTTCTTCAGTCTAAAGATGGCAGCAGAGAATATTGTAGATGGCTCTGGGCTCCAGATCTATACAGATTTCTACTAAACTAACGGGAGTCCCTTTACGGTATTGATTTGTGTGTCCCTCACTGGAATGGGAGTTCCTGTGACTACCACGTTAGCCTTCTATGGGCACCGCGTGCTGCTACATAGTGGGCTTAAGACGGATAAGCGGATGGTCAGTCCGCCTCCGCTAACAGGCCAAGCAAGACCCAATCTTAAAAAGAAAGCTATTCGGTAAGTTGACGTTATACTTGTATCGGTTAACACGAAGCTCGGCTGCCTCCATCGATACCCTAACAAAAAGGACTTAATCAAAACAGGTGTGTATTTCTCTTGCACACAGACGTCTAGAGGGACTCTGTCCACAGCTCCCATGTGCCTGCTCTACTGTGTGTGGCTTTCGTTCCCAAGTTTACATCTTGGTCCAAGACGGCTCTGAAGCTCCAGTCATTATCGCCACGACCCAGGGAACAGGAAGGTTAAGAGAACGGTAGGGGTGGGTATTTGGGGAACAAAATGGGGGGCCTGTGTCAGAGGATGCTATGTTCCTCTCGATATCGATCTCTCCACTTTTCAGTACCAGAACCCCAATTTTTATGCCAGTCTATTGCCACCCATAATAAATACTATATCCCCCCGCCCACCTTGCAGCTAAGTGTGAACAGGTGACTAGGTTTTAGACAATGAAACATAAGCAGAAATATTACGTAGAATTTCTGGGAAGTTCCTCCTCTTTAAAAGGAGCACAGGTGGGGCGCCTGGGTGGCGCAGTCGGTTAAGCGTCCGACTTCAGCCAGGTCACGATCTCGCGGTCCAGTGAGTTCGAGCCCCGCGTTGGGCTCTGGGCTGATGGCTCAGAGCCTGGAGCCTGTTTCCGATTCTGTGTCTCCCTCTCTCTCTGCCCCTCCCCCGTTCATGCTCTGTCTCTCTCTGTCCCCCCAAAAATAAATAAACGTTGAAAAAAAAAATTAAAAAAAAATAAACAAATAAAAGGAGCACAGGTATGATGGCTGGAGCTCTAGCAACCACCTTGGATCATGAAGACCATAAAGACAAAAACTGCATCCTAAGAATGACAGACAAATGAACTAGAGGGAAACACTGTACCTGCAAACCTCATAGAGGAACCATACCAGCCCTGGACTGCCCACTCTGAACAGCTCTTATGCGACAGAGAAATTAACTTTTATCTTTTCTTATGCCACTGTTACATTGCTGGCCCCTATAAAACTGGATCTAGTCCTAAGCAGGACAGAACTGAAGTAGTGAATATTTTTCCCCCTCCTGTCTATTTATCAGTTGCCAGTAGTACTATTCTCCACCAACATGGCCGTTCCTGAACCTTCTTTCTCTGTCTCAACCTTGCTCACAGGGAGTAGCAAATAAAGGACACAAAGCCCATCACTTTTAGTTTTGCAAACTATGAACATTTGACAACAAAAGGAGATAAAACATGAGCCATCCATAATTCCCTGCCCAGCTATGGTGAAATTAAAAAGTTAAGAGAATCCCCCTCTAAAATCCCAGAAGCACTTCTGTCGCTGCTCGACATCTATGGCCGTGTTCCCAGCGTGTACTAGGTGAGACAACATGTCGTTAGGTAAATGGTGCCTCATTCACTTACGTACTTAAAAATAATAAAGGCAGCAGAAAAGAAATAGTTATTGTTCTATATCAAACAGGCAGATCGAGACCTCTTTCCCATTTGGCCTGAAACTTAGCTGAGCAAGATTACCCCATTTTCCTTCTTACAAATCCCTACATATATATGTGTGTGTGTGTGTGTGTGTGTGTGTGTATAAAAGGTTCGAGCCACATACATTATCAAAGCAACTTTACAAATGAGCTGTTGCCAACACACCCATGAATACTAAAAATATTTTCCTGGCTAAAAGTTGTCTTCTGTAAGATTGTATTACCACTTGGCCTCTTCTGATAGCCTCAATTCTTATTATATTTCATTTCTCTTGAAATGAGTTCACGGTACCCCCCCAAAATAAAATCAAGTCTTTCGCAAATCGACACCCACGGAGAGATCAAGATTAGTAAGTGGATGAAGAGGGCGTGTGGGCAGCGTCTTGGAACCTCTCTGCAAGGTGGTAGCTGGATGCCAATGATCACGACAGACCCCGTGACCTGGAAGAAAAGATCGGTGGACAAAGCCTACTTTGAAGACCTGGGCTCCTGTCCCAGCTCCCGTTTCAACACGTAGTGTAAATTTGGACAAGCGTCTTAGTCTCTCTGGCCTCCTTTCTGTTAATTGGGAATAAGACCAACTTTAAATCACTGGGGTGAGATTCAACACTATACGAAAGCAGTTTATAATGGCAAAGGGTCGCGTAAACGTACTGTCTGCATGTTTGTATGAAATAGTAGTGTTTGGGCTCTGAGTAATAGAAGCTAAACTATGGACTTTAAGTATTTGTGTGTATGTATGTATGTGCCTCAAGGATACAGAACATTCTGGAAGAAAAGGAAATGAACTGTTAAACAATGGTTACCTTTTGGGATAGGGTAAATATTTTTTTCACTTTAAACATGGTCAGTGGTGGCTGTATATTAGTTTTAAAATTAAGAAAAAATGTGTACTGTGACTAAAGTTCTTTCCACGATGAAAAAGGATGAGGCCAAAGCTAACGGATTTGAAAGGAGTAGGATATTCTTGTAGCAATAACCATGAGTCCCCTAAATCAGTCCCTAAGGCCCTTACCCTGATGACCCACAAACTGCGTCCTTCAAATGGATACTAATGCTAGGCTCGCCCTAGCAATGAAGCATCAAGATTTAGAACACAGAAATACTTAAAATTGCTTCAATATTCAATACATGGGTGTTTCCCGCATTAAGAGCCAGCTAGCACCTCTGTTTCTAAGGAGTACCTTTTTCATTCAAATAGCACCCTTGTCCCCACAATCGACCAGGCAAAAAAGTGTGTGGGTTCCACAATTATCTTATCTCCCGTCATTTCCCTTCCTCTTCTTTACCATCCGTCCTATAATTATTCTAAGTCTTATACCTAAAGCCTGAAAAAAGATTTGGAGGCGATAGGGCGAACAAGTGTTAGGTCTCCAAACACCTGGCAGTCAAGAACCTCCTTGCCTCCCCCCTAGATGAAAGCACACATTATTTGTCTTTGGGCAAATCTCACTCTCTTCATTGGCGTCTCCAAATACCCACCATGACTGCCTTGTCTCCAGCCCACCTGCCTCACTGGGACTAAATTCTCTAGACAGGCCCACGTAGAGTCCTGACCTCCATCCTGACATGGCCACCGCCTCAATCCACACACCAGGCTCCTACCAATGCCATCTGGGAGGCTAGTCAGGAGGAAACAGTCCAGGTGAAAAGGACGCCAGAATGGTGGGGCCATTATGAAAACTAGTATGATGGTTTCTCAGAAAAATTAAAGATAGGGGGCGCCTGGGTGGCTCAGTCGGTCAAGCGTCCGACTTCAGCTCAGGTCATGATCCTGTGGTCTGTGGGTTCCAGCCCCACATGGGGCTCTGTGCTGACAGCTCAGAGCCTGGAGCCTGTTTTGGATTCTGTGTCTTTCTCTCTCTCTGCCCCTCCCCCGCTCACATTCTGTCTCTCAAAAATGAATCAGTGGGGAAAAAAAATTTTTTTTAATTAAAGATAGAACTCCCATGGGATCTAATACTGTTCACAACAGCCAAAAGGCAGAAGTGACTCAAATGTCCGTTGACAGATGAACAGATCAACAAACTGTGGTACACACATTATTACTCAACATATACAATAATTATGTGCCGGCTTCGGCAGCACATATACTAAATTTGGAACAACACAAGAGAAGATCAGCATGGCCCCTGTGCAAGGACGACACGCAAATTCGTGAAGCGTTCCATATTTTCATATACACAATAGAATACTACTTGGCAATGAGAAAGGATGAAATCTGGCCTTTTGTAGCAACGTGCATGGAACTGGAGAGTGTGATGCTAAGTGAAATAAGCCATACAGAGAAAGACAGATACCATATGTTTTCACTCTTAGGTGGATCCTGAGAAACTTAACAGAAGACCCTGGGGGAGGGGAAGGAAAAAAAAAACTTAGAGAGGGAGGGAGGCAAACCATAAGAGACTCTTAAAAACTGGGAATAAACTGAGGGTTGATGGGGGGGTGGGAAGGAGGGGAAGGTGGGTGAGGGGCATTGAGGAGGGCACCTGTCGGGATGAGCACTGGGTGTTGTATGGAAACCAATTGGACAATAAATTTCATATTAAAAAAATAATAAAATAATATATATGTACAATATTATCTAGGCTTAGAAAGCAAGAAAATTCTGACACGGGCTACTATATGGATGAAACCTCAGGACACGATGCCCGGTGAAATAAGCCAGTCACAAAAACACAAATACTAAAGAATTCCACTTACATGAAGTCGTTAGAGCAGTAAAATTCCTAGAGACAGAAAGTTGAATGGTGTTTCCCAGGGGCTGGGGGGAAAGAAGAAGGGAGTGTTATTGTTTCATGGGAACAGGGTTTCAATTTGCAAGAGGAAAAGAGTTCCGGAGAACGGTTGCACACCTAACTGGCTAAGATGGCCAGTTTTATAGCGTGTCTGTCTTTACCGTAACGTTTTAAAAAGGGAAGCCAACGCTTTGAGCAGTGGCGGCAAAGCAGCCAAAGAGGTTTATCCGGGACACGATTGGTGCTAATTAAAAAGCGACGCCAAAATCTCCTATGTCCTCCCCTGCAACCAAAAGCATCACACACGCCAGCCCACCTGGACCTCCTAAAGTCCAGCCTTAGAAGGCCGGCCTGGGTCGTGTTAAAACCCTGCCATGAGCAAATCCCTTCCAGCTAACGGGAAACTTTCCATCTCTGCATTGCTGTAGCCCCGTCATCAAGACTAAATCTCAGTCCCAAACTGTGCTGCAGAAGAATGGTTTTACATGTAATGGGGTTACCACATAGGGAGAAATTCAAAAAAGCTTCCAGCTGTAGTAATATTATTTCTTGATCTGGGTGGTGGTTACATAAGTATGTTTACTCTGCGATAATTCATCGAGCTATACAATTAGGATTTGTGCACTTTTCTGAATGTCAATTAGGCTTTGATTTTTTTTTTTAAGTTATTGAAAATTTTTCCAGCCCTGCTTTGTTATTGCTTCGTTCGTTTGTACAGTCGTTGGCCTCTCACAAGATGATGAGTTCCCGAAAGCCTCGGAGAGCCTAGCGGAGTGCTAGGCTTTTGTTACAAGCTTCATATTTGCCTAGTGACTTCATGGAAGTGTGGAGATCCAGGGGTTATCAGAGGGAAGAAGGTAGTGGGATCGTTTTCTGAAATCCTTTGACATCAGTAAAACGAAAGCTTCCTGACCCCAAAGCTGGAGCTCGAGAATACAGCCATGGCAATCGGCACAGGCTTATAGAGCAAACTCAGCTGTGCTCATGATAACCCACACTCTGGGAAGGTAACAATTTTGATATTAAACATAGATAGATAGATAGATAGATAGAAGATAGACAGACAGATGATAGAGATATATATTAAGAAATTTTTTAAATATGTATGTACATATATGTACATACATGTACACACACACACAAACACACCCCCCCCCAAAAGTGTCAATAAAGCCTAAATCCAGCTTCCCCACAAGAAGAATTAAGACGATGGGGTGAAAACTAGAGCCTATATTGAAAAACGGCTTAAACCAAAATAGATTTGCACGTGGCAAGCTCTGTTGACAAGGTCTATGATGGCGGATTCTTAAGGAAAGTCAAAATTTCAGCCAAAGCTCCTTGGTCTTGAAAATGCTGAGGATTACCAATACTCAACCAATATTACTCAACCAATACCAAGAAGTAGAGGGTTGACCCTGAAGGAGAAGGGCTAGAAACAAGGTACCTCCACGGGGGTGAGGTAGAGCCCCCCCGCAAACCACTGATAGGAGGTGCTCAGTTTGACACCTTTTGCCGGAGAAGACCTTCCAACCTGTATTACTCAACCGTAATACAATCTCACGCACCGGGATGTGGGGAGCGGGTGCTGTTTGCACTTCAGCTATTTGTATGCAGGCCCAGGAAGAGTCCCACTTGGCAGAGCTGGGCCAGCAGCACGTACAGCGTAGACCAGCCCCCCCCCCCCCCCCCCCCCCACAAAGGAGCTGGAAGCCTCCCGTGCTCCACGGTTGCCCTCTGTCCATGGGCAGAGAGGGCAGCACGGACCAGAGGGAAGCCAGGGGAGGGTTTGGTGCCAGGGAGATGACTGAGGTCCGACGCCAACGCCACACTTGTGTGGGACCCGTGAGATGAACAGAACTGGAGGCAAACGGCGTTCTAGTCATGACACAGAGAAGCCCTTCCGCTCCCGACAATCATTAGAGAAAATGTAAACGCAGCGTGTGGGTCAGTTTCAGATGGGGGAACCAAGAAGCCCTCAGTTCTCTTTCTCCCCCCCCCCCTTTCCGGTTTTCTCTTGTTTGACAAATCAAACGGAATCCCAAAGGAAAAGCACGGGAGGAGGGAACAGTCTTCCTTCTCCAGGCAGATTTATGGCATTCTGGATGCAGCTTGCGTCCGTCAGGCCAAAATGGTTAGGGTGGGCTAATCCAGTAGAATTACAGCTTCCTATAATGGGGAAAGTTAAATAGACAAGCTCGCCTACCCCGAGGAGAACGAAGCAGAGGTCAGTGCTTGCTGGCTTTGAACATGAATGGCCCCTTCCCCTCCGTCCCCTTTCACATGTGGCCCGGCAACAGTAGCAGACAGATGCGACACAAAGACAGACACACCTGATTAACCATGAATACAACAGCTGTCGCTTCCCCACCGCCGCCACTATCCACAGCCTGGCTCTTTCCGCTCACTTTTTTCCCTTTCTTTCAGCTAGCGCGAGGAAATTAAACCCACCATTAAAACCCAAGTTAGTGGGAGGGTGTCAGCAGCCAGGCCTTTGTCTCTGTGCTCACAGCCTTGTAATAGGTACCTTCTGATTCATCCTTTCATGTGAGGAAGAGTTGCGGACTACTGCCGAGGGCCCAGTCAACTCAAAACCTGAGACCCCGAGAAAGGCCAGCGGTGGGTGAGGCAAGATGGCACCGACTCAGATGGGGAAGGAGAAAGTAGACAGAGCAGCACATTGGGTGTGCACCTGAGAGTTTCCCCCTCTTCCCCTCCCTCCTCCTGTTCATTCTCTGGCCTCCGGTCAACCAGAATTCCCTGCTGCTAAAAACACCCACCCTTAAAACAAACTGGCAGTCATGAATCCACTGACGGGAAGTGGAACTCAAGGCAGCATTGTCTCCCTGTGAGAACTTATTTATTTTTGCCCCATTTGGAGCTCGCCTTCACAAAGAAGAATGAGGGCAAGTGTTGTTTTTCGGGTTTTGTTGTCCTCTCTTAAGTAGCCAAATCCTTGAGTTCAATTTAACTTCCCAGACCTTGAGCGTCAAGTGCAGGGGGGAAATGTGAGCGTTGAAATGCAAATAACTTCGAACGAGGTAAATAAAGGGTAATGGGATTGTGCCAAGCCTCCAGAAACCTACAGAATGGGTAATTGGAGCCCTAAGTGTGAACTCTGATTTTTCTTTGGGGGGGGGGGTTCTTTGTCCCGCGCCCCCCCCCCCGCCATTTTGGTCAATTTGAGTTAATCATTTGACCCCTGTAAGCCTGCATTTCTATTTGCTCAAAACGGCTCTCTTGGTTGTCAAAAAGTCTCTTAAGTAGTGACCAAGAGAGACTAATAAAAACGATCAGAAATCACCCAGCCAACATGAAGCCTTCTAACATAATAAGGGGTTGATAACTGAGCGATTTAAGTCAATCTCACAAAAATTCAACAAATACCCCTTACTTCCGCAAGAGTGGAAGAGTAACGGAATAATTCAAACCTGTCATCCGAAGGCTGTTTCTAATGAAGCTTCAGCTCGACGGTATACCTCTGGCTTCCACCAAGACCTCATGGACATATCTCCATCAAGATAATTAAAAAGAAGTCTAACTGAAATGCCTAGAAGGTTTTGTTTCAGACAGCATAGTAGAAGTCCCAAGAGCCTCGTTTGTGTAGGACATTGGGATTTGTTCCAGAACACAAAGGTAGCCTGCCACAGTTGGTAATTTTAGACTCCTCTTTCATCCACTTGATGAATAGCCATATTCACTCTCAAATCAACCTAGGGGTCCCGCCTCAGAGCGATGCGAAAAGACCTCCCTCATTTTGCCATGCAAACCTTCTCCACAATTCTTACAGCATCCAAGTGTCTCTTTTTCTTGCTTCACAGAACCCACAGTTTAAGCAGAGTAAGCCTGTCTGTTTTCAATTCTTAACTTTTCACACATGGCAAACGAGTAGAACTTTTGAACACTGCGATCATCTGGCTGATGAGCAAGCTGTTTTCCATTTCTGGCAACAAATACTTCTGGCTTATCTTGACGGGAGGAAAAGGGATGAAAATACACTTTGGTTGGATATCGTTGATAACATTTGTCATCGCTGCAGCTCAAAAAATAAATAAATAAAATAAAATCGCTTAGAAGAAGTCTCCCTCGGTGTTGCAGAAAATGGCAAAAGATGGGGCACCACCACGGAGATGCCAGTTAAATTGAATTCATAAATGAATTCCATGTCCTTTCCATGATAAATGCAACGTAGCATCATGAAGCGTAATGAGGGCTGGACTAGACAGGAATAAGGGTCTTTGCGTCCTGGGGTCTGGAGTGCTATTGTTGGACACAGTACCTTTAAAGGCTTGCTTCACATGTCTGAACCTGTCCCCCTCCATATAAGTCTGCTGGGGCTGCTGTAACAGAGCAGCGTGGTCCGGGGGGGGGCCTTCAACAACACAAATGTGTTGTCTCATGGTTCTGAAGGCTAAAAGTCTATGATTGAGGTGTTGGCAGGC